TTATCATATTTGTGTGCTATGAGTGTGTGTTCCTGACGTAATTTTGGTTTGCGCTAAATATGGGAAGATACCAGTAAGCAATAAAAAGAGTCTTTTTCCTATGAGGAAAAGAATACATCAAAATCAATATTTGATGATGAAATGGTCCCTTCTTTCTTTCTTTTTCCTTCACGTTCCCCAGTGGAACATAGGGCTTCAAGCTAGTGTCTTGAAGTTTCTGTAGCAGTGTTTATTTAACAGGATGAGGTTGCTAGCCTCATGCCCAACCTTTCCTCTTCACTAGCATTATTTCTGGCTTAGCGAGGTAAAGGAGTGCGTCGGCCGGGGATCGAACCCCTGACCATGTGCATGGTCGGCGAGCGTCCTAACCTCTATGCCACCGATGAAATGGTGATTGGAATTAATTCGCATAAGACATTCTTCATTTAGTTCATAATTTATCCTACAATCACATGTGCTTAGTATATTTATTTATAGGTGCGAAAAATCCTTACAATGAACTATCAATCAGTTTTCCAAAGAGTTAGTGACCACTTAGTTGATAATTTCTTTAAAGATTTTATCTCTTTTAACCATAAAGTAGTGTCTTGTTAATGCTTTATCAAAAGTCGAAATTACAACCGTAAACTTAGTTGTGTTAGATTTAGAAGATTGTATTATGAAGACAAACAGTCCGTAAAATAAACGATCACTTAAAAAAAGCTATGTATAGCTTAGACTGTACTTCGGTCACGCGAAAGGTCTGGGTTCGACTCCCTACCGACACACTCTTAAAACGTCTCGTAATGTACTAACTCGGTCGTAAGCCCAGAAAATAGTGGGAGGGGGGGGGCGCTGGCCGTGAGGCTAGCAAACCTACCTACCTCGTGAAAGAAACAACACCACTTTTGAAATTTGAAAGCCCTCTGTTCCACGCGGAACGCAAAGAATGAAGGAAAGATGAACGTAAGCTGTAACTACTTAAACTAGTTACTTGACTTTCAACCAGCGAAATTCGAGTTCGGACCCTGTTATGCATACCAAGTTTTTAGAAGTTAGCTATGATCATCAACTATCACAATAAAGTCTACAAATATTCGCGTAGTGTCAAACATTTCATCAGATTTTGAAGCCGTTCCTACTCTTCTTAATGAAGGTCTGCCACTTTTAAGTGTAAGCTTAATGTTTTTACCTTTAAAACTTTATTTCTATGGTGTAATTTACTTGTCCTCGAGCGTTATTCTTAGTTACCTATACCGTTGCTTCCTGTATTTGTCCAGGTAACAATAAATGCAGATTATATAAAGAAAAGTATTACATCTTAAGTGTTACTCAAAGATAAAGTTATGCAGTACATGTCAAATGGCAAGTATTGTACGCTTATCAACTTTATTTTTTTCACCTTTTTTATTAGAATTCCTTTGAAAATCACTCATCATATGTTTATTATAGTATAGCATAACAACACGTGAAATTATAGTCGTCATTTCCGAATTTGTAAGGAGTTTTTAAAAAAAAATTTATGTATCTCATTTGCTGTACAATTGTAGTTGTCACTTCTGCATGTCTAACAGTCGCCCATGGACTATATAACAAAAACGTATGAAAAAATCTAAGCACATGTTTGCATTTTAATTTACTGTATTAATTATTTGATAGCCACGTACGTAGGTGGGCTCTCAGCCATTCATTACAAAGTAGCACTGAAAGACAACACCTAGATTACTTCCTCAAAAGTCTGCCTGAAGAAATTCTAGTTCCGAAAAAACGACACAAACCTGACACAAACGTGTTTCTTTCATATATTGTATTACATTGAAAGTATGCCTACGTAAACTCTAGACAAAATTGATAATTAATGTCAATCCCTTAGAAACTGAGAGATACTTTTCCTGTATTTAACAAAGCTTATCGTTACCTACTAATAATACAATGAATAACACCAGTTTTTACTAGTTCAAATAAGGCTAAATAAAATATTCCACGTTTAATGTGTCTACATTAATTATAACGGTGTTACACTAGTGTAATAATGGTGGCTACTCATAGGGTTATAGTTTCGATGTTTTTGAGCATATTGTTTATTTAAAGACAGGGATAAAGTTGCATTGGTTATATTATTTCGCCAATCATCATCAACGGGAGGGATTTGAAAGAGGTTACTTCATTCACTTAACTAGGGAGCATTGTCTCAACTACAGGAGAAACGGACGAGGATGTCAAATCGAGAATCGGGAAGGCGAGAAACACATTCATCAACCTGAAACCAATCTGGAAATCTTCGTCACTCAGCCTGCATCAACAACAAAATGATTCGGATTTTCAATACAAACGTCAAGTCAGTCAGTTCTTCTATAAGGATCAGAAACTTGGCGGGTCACAAAGAGTATTTCCAACAGCCTGTTGCAGGTAGACCTTTATCAACAACTGTCTTCGCTGGCTCTATACTGAAGATCAGATGGCCGGAAAGAATCACAAACAAGAAACTATGGGAAGAAACAAAACAAGAACCAATCGCTCAACAAATATGCAGGAGAAAGTGGAGATGTACTGGACACTGGGTGAGGAGACCGCTGGGTAACATCGCGCATCAGGCCAACGCTCGAGTGGAACTCGAAAGGGAAGCGGCGAGTGGTTCGTGGGTGCAAGGGTGACATGGAGGAGATCGTGTGAAGAGGAGTTGAAACAGTATGGATTAACATGGATGCAGGTGAAAAGTTCAGCAGAATACAGAAGCAAGTGGAGACGTGTAGTTGAAGCCCTATGTTCCACTAGGAACCCAAGGGAACAATAATAATAACATAATAATATTATATTTTACCAGCTTCATTTCAACCTAGAAAGGAATTTAATTCATAAACATAATGAAAATTAGACTTCTATTCTTCATGACCCTTTTTAGGTCTATATTAAAACTAGAAGTTCATCTGTAACATTCCGTCTTCTGATTAATTGATTGATTGATTGAGTTTCAACATAGAAGTCTGCACAAAACTGAAATACTTCAAGTCAAAATGCTCCAAACAGCACACAAAGGCAGAGAGAAAAAAATAGATTCAGAAGAAGTATGATAAGCAGGAATTATACGGGGAAAAATAGTCATTTGGAAAAACATATGGATTTAATGGATCTGGGAGATTACAAAGAGGGATTGTGTGTGTGCACTTTTGACAACTGTTTTGAGCCATATTTACCAATAGCCTGGAGTTATTGGTCCTTCGAATTCCTCCGAGGACCCCAACCAGGCAGTCAACACTTCCCTGCATGGCTTAAACGAACTGTCAAAGACGTCATGGATTTATGCCATGTCTTGGTTTGACCACTCCTAACTCTTCTAACCTATTCCTGTGTCAGCTGACATTGCTCGATGAGGAGGACGGTGGCTTGGCATGCGCCACAAGTGTCATGGCCATCTCAGTTGATGTAGCTTCACCACTTCATTGACTGACTTCCCTTCCTTACGGAGCACTTGACGCTTAACTTCGATATTATTCATCAGACTATACCACATAACATGGGAGGTGGTAGAATGCAAAGACAGTTAACCTCCTCACATCTTCCACTTTCAATGACCATATCCCATAGACGGAGTGAGGTGCTTCTCAGTACACAGGTCTTCTGATTCATAGCCTGATGTCACATCTAAGCCAGAGTTGACATAAGTTGACAAATGACACAGGAGTCTTTTGTATCCGTGCTGAGATCTTGCCACCAATCTCTCCATTGGGGCTGATGCAACTTCCCTAATAAATGAATTAATCAGCACGCTCAACAACTACTTCGCTCCCTATCTTTAAGCTAAGAGTCGGTGCAGTTCAGTTCTGCAGCATCATCTTACACTTGACAGGTGCGAATAGTATGCAGATCATTCGAAGATTTCTGCTTTATATGTTCAGTAGACCCTGTATTTTGTCAGTGTCTTCGCCTAGGAGGACGATATCACCTGCATACTCTAAGTCTACGAGACTGTTCTCTGGTAAAATGTCAAAGTGGCTAAAGTCAGTTTGGCTGAATTTTCTATTGGTACCTCTACGATGAAATTAAACAAAATTGAGGAATGTGGGAATCCCTTACAGAAACCACTGGTTTCCATCACTTCAGATGATGATAACTCTCTGTAAACTCTTCCTCGACTGCATGAGTTTGAGTAGAGTTTCTTACTACTCTTATGTAGGATGTTCACTTGAAATTTCCTATATGGATTTTAATCCCCTTTAGCATTTATCTGTATTCTCTTTTTAAATCAGAATTTTAGTTATTTGGAACAGTATCTGTATCTCACATTTATTGCAACATATTTAAAGTTTTCGAGAATTAGTTTGCAGGGATTTCAGGTTAGACCATGGATTGATATCAGTTAGAGAACCATTGAAAAAATATATTTGGAGTTATTTCATCTTAAACAAAGGCATATTATTAATACTGAAAAGATTCATGTTCCTTTGGTAATCTCAGATGGCATCAGTAAGTGTCGAAGTTGAGGGGGGGTGGGGTTAGTGTTAAACTCTTATGGTTTTGACTGGTTTCTTGTAAGATTGAGTTATTTATGCTAATCAGATATCATATTGCAGCCAATATATTTGTATTTAAAAAAATTTTTATTATTCCTTTACGTTCCCAGTGGAATATAGGGCTTAAAGCTTCAGTAGCGGTGGTATTCATTTTTACTGGATGGGGTTGCTAGCCTCATGCCCAACCTTCCCTCTTTAAGAGTTTTATTGCTGGCTTAGCAAAGTAAAGGAGTGTGTTGGCTGGGGATCGAACCACATGCGTGGTTGGCGACTATTCTACCTCTGTGCCACCGACGCCTGGGTATTGGTTTTCGGGAGAACCGAACACACCTATCACTGCCTCTTGCAAGACGAGACCGACATGCAGTATCATCCTGTGGCCCAACCACTCGACAGCCCTTTCCCTCGGTGGACCCATATAGTTGTGTAGTTATGCTTTATAGTTATTGTTTTATGTTGTATACAGCCAGCTGAAATACCCATCATTTTTACTTTTGATTTTTCGCGCAGGTGTTCTGGTGTATCTACGAAAAGCGATCGTGTACTTCCTCTGGGAAAAAAGAATCTGTAGTAAAACTTGATGCAGAAGAAACACCATCTGTAGAAAAGCTTGACTGTTCTTCAGTACTGAAAAATTATTCTTCATTATCTACTAATACAGAAAAGTTAAATGACTCTACAAAGGCTAAAAGTTCATTGTCTGGATTATTAAAATTTTGTGGCATTTCTCTTGACTGTTGTCCAGTATTCCATTTCATTACAAAAAAACCTGATGATACCGTCCTGTTTCAAGCATCCATTAATGAATATGGTACGAATTCAACTAATGATACTGTTAATTCACTTAAAGATGATTCAACACCTGCGGAAGCTACTGTGAAAAAATCCACAATATCACATTCTCCATCTATTGCTAATCGTCGACATCAACCACCTCCACCACGTTTATTCACTCCATCCCTGATGGCTACTAGTCCCCCAGTTGAGACTCAGTTATATCATATTCAACCGAAGGATTTCGTATACAATCAAACATGTAAACCAATTCCTAGTTCATTAATGCTACAAAATGATGGTCTTGGTGCGTGTACAGTTACTGCAACACAACTATTACATGGTCCATTATTATTAAATACATCAGCGGATTTATTGCATTCTCAATGTACACCATGCGAATCACAATCAGCGCCATGTAGTCAAACTTCAGTGACAACTCAACCCTTATCTTTATTGAATCCACCATTTTGTCATACTATTTATCCAGCATCGAATTCACTAGCTCAGGAATTAACCCCCCAATTACCGTCATCCAGTACTAGTTCTACTTGTAATGGTGGTACACAAGTTCCGAAAACTTATCCAGGCGTTGGATTTAATGCCGGCCGTCGAGTAAGATCTAAAGGTCTTTTAGAAAGGTAAATAGCTTTTTATTAAACTTATTGATTGTTACTCTATAGATATGATTGTTTTTGTTGACCAGATTTTTTTGTATTCTTCATTTTGAATGATTTTTGGACAGTTATTATTAATACTATTCACTGCTCATTAGTGACTACTGAAAAAGTGACCAATGGCGATCGCCAATTCGCTTGTGAGAAGCAGTACAGATGACACAGTATAATGGTGCTGCTGTATTCCAAATTGACAGAAGTCAGGATTCAGATTCGGAATGGTGGCAACCTGTAAGAATTTCGACACTTGGTTGAAATAGCTACCCACTGCTCATTGTTTTAGACTTTTTCACTAGCTAGTGATGTGAATAATCTTCAGATATCATTTTGTTCTTACAATAAGTTGTTTTAATCCTTCGGTTCAAATCTTAACGAGTTTGTCACATGTACTGTCGAGTATTTTTTGTTTTTCATTCCCTGGCGTTCCTAGTGGGATATATATATGGCTTCCAGCTTGAGGTTTGAAGTTTCAGTAGCGGATGTGTTTGTTTTCACGGAGTGAGGTTGCTGATAACCTCACGCCTAGCCTTCCCTCTTTACTGGGCTTACTACAGGCCAAGTTGGGTCTAAGAGTGCGTTAGTTGGGAGTCGAACCCCGTTCTACTACTGAACTGTCCATGGATGGGTATTACTGTTATTCATCAAAACCCAGTAAACTGATCGTTGATCCTATGGCTATTTCACGCAATTCAACTCTACTCTTCAACAATCGCATTAATTTTTTTTATCAATATGTTTATTGACTAAGCAATTTTAGTGCGACTAACTACCTTTTTTAAATGACATAAGCAATAATCGTACAGCTTGGAAATAAAGTGGTTAAATGGAAATATTTCTTTGTTTGAACTTTATCCAGTGGTACAACTGATGTTCTAGCATTAGAGGCTTTTATGCCTTTTACTGTTTGCCAACCCTGGGATTGGTTGAAGAAAAAGAATAGGTCGTCAGCCTATAACTTGAGGACGTCATATGATCAAAGATAATTGTGTTTGGTCAGTAACTGCTTGTGCATTGTAACTCCTTCACTTGGGTCCAAGAGACTAAGTGATCTAGTGGTTTGAAATGGATTTGAAAATCTAAATTAATTGTGGCTATGCTGTAGTTTCCTTTTTTCATCAACTACCGAAGGTAATTGAAGATGTCAAGCACTTCTTTAAATGCTTGTTGTGAGAATGTTCACCTTTCCATATTGTTATTCTTTTTCTTCTCAGCATATATTTGTTATACTATTTTGCACAGCATGTTTCTTGGGGTCCATTTCGTATCAAATTTCCGTTTCTTTAGTCTCTGTGGTGTTAGTGAAAACACACTATTATTATCATTGTTTCCTTTAATTCCTAGAGAAACATAGGGCTTCAGCCGTGCGTCTCTATTGCGTTCGGTTCTCTGCTCGAGTCTTCACCTGGCTCCAAGTATGCCCACACGTTTTTATCTCCTCTTCACATGACCTCCTCCAAGTCACCCTTGCACTGGCGACCAACTCGCCGCTTCCCTTTTGGGTTCCACTCGAGCAATGGCTTGTCTAGGGATGTCACTTGGTGGTTTCCTCAGAATATGGCCAGCCAGTCCACCTCCATTTCTTCCTGCCTATTTGTTTCACAATCAGTTCCTGCTGTGTTGGTTCGCTCATTGCCAGAGATCTCTGTTGCTGATCTCTTCTGGCCGGCCATCTGATCTTGAGTATTGAGCGAAGACAACTGTTGATGAAGGTCTGTAGTTTGTTTGAGATGCTCTTTATGACGCGCAGTGCAAGTCTCTGGTCCGTATATTGAGTAGCACTGACTTCACATTGGAGTTGAAAATCCGGATCTTGTTTTTGATGCTGAGTGCTGTTGACCTCCACACAGACTTGAGAGTAGTGAAAGCTTGTCTTACTTTCCCGATTCTTGCTTTGATATCCTCGTCAGTTCCGCCTGTAGTTGAAATGATGCTTCCCAGGTAGGTAAAAGAGGTTGTTTCTTTCAGGTTCCTTCCATTCATGCTGATTGTTGTCTGTTGTTGTTGTTGCTGTTGGTGGTGTTGCCCAGGAATCTTCATCACCTCTGTTCTATCTATGTTCACCTGAAGTCCTATCTTTGATACTTCTTCTGCTAACTTGTTGCTTTTCGCTTGCATGTCTTCCAGTTTGTGGGAAGTCAGACATATATCATCGGCGAAGTCCAGATCCTCCAGGTTTTTTGTGTAAGTCCATTTTATGCCTGTTTCCTCATTGCCCGCTGTTTGTCGCATCATTCAATCTACTGCAATCAGGAAAATCATTGGCGATAGTAGTCAGCTTTGTCTTACTCCTGTCCTCACATGGAAGGATTCCGTAAGTTTCCCGTTGTGGATTACTGGGCATGCAGCATTGTCGTACAGCTGTTGGATGAAATGTATAATTGTCGGCGGCACCCCGTAGCAGCGAAGTAGTTGCCAAATCACCTCTCGATCGACGCTGTCGAATACCTTTTCAAAGTCGATGAAGTCGAGATAGAGAGGTGACTGCCATTCCAAGCTTTGTTCAATGATGATCCGTAATGTGGCGATCTGATCAACACATGACTTGTTTCTCCTGAATCCAGCCTGTTCCGGTCGAAGTTTTTCATCCAGGGCATGTTTGATTCTCTCCAGGATGATGCGGCTTAGTATTTTGCTTGAGATGGACAGGAGCATAATTCCGCGCCAGTTCTTGCATTGACTCAAGTCTCCTTTCTTTGATAGTTTGAATAAGTATCCTTTCTTCCAATCCCCGGGTAATTTGCCTTCTTTCTACACCTTCTCCAGTAGTGGCGTCATCAAGTCCGCTGATGTCTCTGGGTCTGTTTTCAATGTTTCTGCTGGGATCCCATCTGGTCCTGCTGCTTTTCCAGCTTTTAGCATCTTGATTGCCTTCAGGACTTCTGATTTCGTTTGGGGGTTGGTGTTCACTGGTAGCTCTGTCTCCGTTGTTGGTATTGTTGGGCGCGTTGTAGGTGGTGGTCGATTTAGGAGTCTTTTGAAGTGTTCAGTCCAGTGTTCCCTCTGCTCCACTTCTTTGGTGACTGACTTTCCATTGTCATCCTTCACTAGCTTAATTTGTGTCAAACTTTTGCCCGATAGGTACCTAGTTGCTTGGTAGAGTGTTGCGAGTGTTGGTCCACCGAGGGAGAGGCCTCTCAAGTGGTTGCGCCACAGGATGATCCGGCATGCCGGTCTCGTCTCGCAAGGGGCAAGGATGGGTATGTTTGGTTGTCCTGAAAACCAATACCCAGTCAATGCGTGTATGACTGTGTGAAAACATACTAACTGATATCCAATAATGTAGAACTGACTGTTTACCGAAAGTTGTTTACTCGTCTGTAATGCTATATAACAATCATATTTTTTTAGTAAATATTCATATGAAATGATGATGTTATTTTGGTTGATGGTGACTGGCAGTGCGCATTTCGTCTTATTTAAGACTCAGCTAGGGATGTACCTGCATTCCCAATGGTTGATGATGATGGTGTTCTTACTGAGACTTAAACCCCTCTGCATCCATCATGGCCTAGTGGATAGTGCTTTGGCGTACAAAACGATGGATACAGGGTTCGGGTCTCAGTGAGAACACCATCACTAACTAGGAATGCACACACATCCAGCTGATGGGTCCCAAACAAGAAGAAATACGCATATCTGCGTTTCACTTCTAGTCACCTCATCAGCCAAAATATTTATATATTATTATTGTTCCCTTGGGTTCCTAGTGGAACATAGGGCTTCAACTACACGTCTCCACTTCCTTCTGTCTTCCGCTGTACTTTTCACTTGCATCCATGTTAATCCATACTGTTTCAGTTCCTCATCACACGATCTCCTCCATGTCACCCTTGGACGTCCCACTGGCCGCTTCCCTTTCGGGTTCCACTCGAGCGTTGGCCTGACGAGCGATGTCACCCAGTGGCCTCCTCAGCGAGTGTCCAATCCATCTCCACTTTCTCCTGCATATTTGTTGGCCGATTGGTTCTTGTTTTTTTTGTTCCCATAGGTACTTGTCGATGATTCTTTCCGGCCATCTGATCTTGAGTATAGAGCGAAGACAGTTGTTGATAAAGGTCTGCAACCTGTCGGAAATTCTTTGTGACCCACCAAGTTTCTGATCCGTATAGAAGAACTGACTGACTTGACGTTTGTATTGAAAATCCGAATTTTGTTGTTGATGCCGAAATAGCATCACATTAATTCTCATGTGGTGGTGTGATACGGACAATGTGTTCCAACGGAATATTATTCTCACATATTCCAATGGTTCACTACTGAGTTAGCAACAGAATACTATGTGTGTATTTGAACATTCTATTTCATGTCGTTTAATGTAAACCAAAATCACACGCTCAGTGATTGGTTATAGAATATTAACTGTATATATATAAACAGCGGTTTGATCAATGAAAAATATACATTTGCTTCTGTGTCTTGCCTTCTGCTGTTACACTGAGACATTGTTGAAGCATCCGTACTAGGCAGCGGCCGACGTTTCGGTCACTCAACGGGAGATGCAAATTTACCTTTCAAAAAAAAAAACAAATAATATTCACCTAATGTTACTAATTTTTGTCGTCATATGACAATATGTGCGCGATAAACGCACAGTGTATGTTGTACTTCACATGATCAAGTTTCATTTCAACTTGACCGTATAACTTTTTTCTATAATGAACATTCATTTTCAGCTGTCGATAAATGATTAAAAATTTTGCATTTATGATGGTTTTCACTACAAATCTTGATGTTCAGATTTCGCAAAATGGTTCAGTACTTACTTTTATTATTATTATCAGATATGTAAAATTTAACCTCCTCCCATTGTCTCTCACTCAGTCGTAAACTATGTGTTCGAACTATAAACTGTCTTAAAGGCGTTAACACACTCGCCTTTAATTCTAATCCTATTAGCTCGCATATTTCCAGTTGGGATCATTCTGTCTATATAATAATAATATGTTATTGTATAGAGATTGTGA